CTATGCTCATCTCTCTATATTTGAATGGGACAACTCGATCGGCAATTAATTGAAAACGTATATAATAATGAATATATAATCCCATTAATTCCCAGTCAAGCACCAAGGACGGCTTTACTGAGAAGATATATATGGAGGCTGTGGAATTTGGATTAAAGATGAGATTCTGTTTGGACCCACCAGCAGATCTCCTTCCATTGGATAATTGTGATTTGTTACCGTCCAAACTCCTTAATTTCTATGCCTTTAAGATTGAAATGGTTATATTAATTTCTAAGCAAGTAACTCAACTCTCTTTCAGTTTTGATCATCTGGCTCGTCTTGGAATCACCAACGTTTACCTACAAATCAACGAGCTTCTGCTTTACTCATTTCTAAACCAACCTAGATACATATATATATATATATGGATACATATGTTTGAAATTATACCATATTCTTAAAGTGTTTCCTTTGTTATATATATGCTAAACTTTTGACTTACGTGATTCTTTAATAACAGCCAGTGAACGCAGACTACAGCTTAATGATTTCATATGGGTAAATAGCATATGTTTGGTCCAAAATGCTGATAACCAGTGGCTGATTATGACTTCAAAAAAAAAAAAAACAAGGAAGGGGAAGCTTATAGAGTTCTGTAATGTATGGAACCACTTAGTTTGTGCAAAAGGAACTCTTTTGACATATTTAGTGGACGCCATGAGTGAATGTCGTACCAGCTCTGGACTCGAAGAAAATATGAACAGAAAAAGAAGCCGCGCGCTCCAGTTATATTGTATAAAGAAAGGAAAGGAGGGAACTCATGAATAGAATATTCACTGTATCTTTTGCATATCAGAGTCAGACTATATGTTTACAGGCATCACTACTTTTCCATTCTTTGTTCTTAAGCATGCAAACTAATCAAGTAGAATGACCAAAAAATGTTCCAATTATGTTTCCAAATGGAAAGTGATTACTTCCTATTCCTTTAATTTATGCAATTTTTTTTTATTCATTCTCAATTTGAAATGGGTAATTAGTTTCATACAAGTGGGAGTTGAAGGTAATCATTTTGTTCTCTGGAAGAAAAAATCTCTTGTTTTGCAACAATAATAAGGAAGATTTAAATTAATACTGGTTAAAGGTTCATAAATAGTTCATATACTTTACATGAGGAATTTATTTACATCAATGAAACTATATGTCATGATCAATGAACAAAGTGTTTAATAAACCTGAAAAAAATAAAAATAAATGCTTTATTTTTTTATGTCAACTTTTGCTTTTATATAATGATCTATTAAAAGATTTTAGAAGATATATTATAATATATTCATTTAAAACTTGTGAGTTGTTCAAATAGTATACCTATTATTCACTCTATGCGATATCCCACACTAAATTACTTGATAAGACAAGGACGTTCCGTCTCAAACCCCAGTAATTGAATTGACCTCGCAGACGCCTAACCACTGAGCCGAAGCTCAGTTGGCTGTCTAGCTAGTTCGTTGATCAAGTTGAAGATGAGAAGTAATATCATTGAGTTTTCACCCATAAAAGGGGAAATTTTGAGTTAATATAGAAATTAAGCAAATTGATTAGTCCCATTAAAAACGTATAGATAGATAGGAACATTGAAGATTGAGCATTGAAAATGGTGATCCAGTGCTGGGGAGAAGCTGCAAATGTAAGATTTTATGTAGGAAACAAATGATAAGGGGAAGCTTCTAATTAAACTCATAACGAATTAACCAATAGTACGTGCAACAGGGCATCTGGTGTAGACCAAGAAGTGGGGACAAGCTGCAGCCACCTACCCTCATTAGTCATTGCTCCATGGGCCGACAGGGGAAGGGGAATATCCTAATCCATCATCACCTTGATCTGGATCGCACTGCCTGCGCTATCAATTTTTTTAGTTAAGCATATCATTAGTGCTTAACTTAAAAAGCAAGATGTACTTCGCTTCGGCTTATGACAACGTTGTGACATGTTTTTAGCTTACCAATTGTTTTTAGCTTACCAATTACTCAAATTCTCTTACATTTTTCACGTTAAAACATCACTACTGCAACGTATATACCATGATTATCTCACATATTATAAAAGATTTAAAAAAAAAAACTTCCAAAATCCTAAAGATGAATATACCCATGAAAATCTTTTATCCTTTTATAGGATTCTTTGGTAATTTTCTGGAGTTTAAAATCAATATAGTTAGAAGAGGTTCATTTTCCACTCTCTGTCTCTTTCTTTTGGGCCATTTGCTCTGTTAATTGCTTTGGTAACCTAAATATATTGTGGAATGGATTCAAAGTTCAAACCCTATACTCATGATCATTAGGCAGAAGCCAAATAGATTTAAGTTGAGGCTTCTCTAATCTCTACGCTAGCTAGGGCAGGGCAGGCAAGGCAAGATCAATAACATATATATATATATATATATATATATATATATACACACCATCGAACAAAATAAAGCAGAAGCCCTAATTAAGCAATAAGAGAAACTGGGAACAAATTAATTTAACGTCATGACAGGGTAGGACTGATGTCATCATAAACCCCACGACAATGGGGGGGGGGGGGACTTCTCGTGGGTTAAGATAGTGGTGCTGCAGCTATCATAAAATGTTTGAATATTTTGTGTTTATATAAAAAAAAAAAAACACTTAAAAGGTTGCAAAAAAAGGATGAAAAGATAAAACATTGGGGGACCAAAGCAGCCATGCGTGTGACCACAAAAAGGTCCTAAAAGATATAAACCATCCCTTCTCTAAGCTTCCTTTCCCTTTTCAATTATCTTAAAAGAAAAAAAACCTCCTTTCCCTTGCCATTTGCCAAAGCAAATAGCCTCAGTACGCAGAAACTACTCTTTAGACCCACTGCTCTTTGAGTCACTTCATGCCCCTCCGTACGTACAATATATATATACATATATATGAATTTGGAAGAAGCAGAAGCATTAGAGTTGGGGGGGGGGGGGGGGCATGGGGGTCATAAACTAATTGCATGGGTTTTTCTTCTACTTTTTCTCATGACTAATTGAGTGTTGATCTCATTAATTAATATATAGTTAATAATATATCTAATATAACAAAATTACCCAATTCCATTTGAAAAATGCTTAAGACAAAAAATGGGGTTTCCCCTCTTGAAACAATTATGGTGTTTAAAAGGGGTAAGAGACGGTTATTGGTTGAATGATTTTTGTTTTGCTTTTCTTGGCCAAGTTGCTGCTTTTGAATAACCGTGTAATTACGCAGAGTTTGCTGGTCATCAAAGATAGATTCAAGAGCTTTAAGTCATTATTTGTTTTCCCAGCTTCATCCCTTTTTAAACTTTTTACCATAAAAACATTGCATATCGATACTTGTATTGATCCTCTTTTGGCCAACCAACCAGGCATCAAAGCCGGTGACAGCATATATAAAATAGAGCTCGTGGGTAACTAAAGGACATATAGAAGAAAATAGTGAATAAATATTGGAGGCTCGGGATACCGTGCCATATGTCAAAAGCTAATGGAAACATCTATTATTCCCTTTTGGAGTCTTGGTCTATAAGTTTTATATACTCAACTCCAAAGACATTGAATTTCATCAAGCAAGCAAGGTAATCATTTTTCCTTTCCTATAACGTGTCGAAACAAAATGAAGGAAGATATTATTATCCCAACTTCATTTTTTCAGCTCGCATTATAAGATATAGTGTGTGTATATATATATATGTATATGTTATTAATTTATGTTTATGCTTGAGTTTCCGCCTCTAACTTTATACAAACTACATATAAAAATCTTTGTCCCATATAGAAAGAAAAATGGAGCAATTGTTTTAAGCTAGCTAGCTGGATGCTTTGTATGTTATTCGAAACAAAATCAAGGGAATTTGGGTTGTTTGGATGGAGATTTAGAGTAGATTAAAAATTTTAAAAATATAAATTACATGCTTTCACCTGAGAACATGCATGGTTGTTGCTTCATTATAAGTACTAGAATGCCATTATGAAGTTGAGGTTCCCAATTAAGCTGAACGGTTTACAATGAAGGCAGTAATGCATGTGGTGCCTTCATATTTGATGATGCTTTGGGAATTTATCCTCCTGACGAAAAAAAAAAAAAAAAAAAAACAAGGCTGCCCCGCCAAACCCATGCCAAAGCTTTACATGTGTCGTGTGAAAATGAAGAGCACACGAATTTATCAAACAAATTAACAAATTCCATTGTACCATATATACATCAATTCCACTTTAAAGGACAAACTATAATCTAATATGAGACTCCATATAGGATCATATGACAAGGAATGAAGGCAAGCCATGAATAATATATATATATATATATTATACATATGTAACTGAAATTGAAGAGTGAAGAAGGGCAGCTAAAGAGAGAGAAAAGGTGGAAGTTGGAGTGTGTTCCAAGACACAATGATTACACGGGCTCGGGGAAGCAGAAGGGTGGCGTGGAAATAGCCAAGAGTGTGGAAGAACGTGGGGGCTTGACCGAGGTAGGAAAAGGAAGATCGAGGCGAGGCGAGGCGATAGCATAAAAAAGAAATGAAATGAAAAAAAATAAAAGAAATGAAAAGGGTTTAGCTAAGCCTTTTATCATGATGATACTATCAGCCTTTTTGGTCTTTGGTCGGTCGACAATCTGTGTGTTGTGTGTTCACTGTGTTTTATTTTTTGTGTTTCCCATCCCCACTCTCTCTCTCTCTCCAACTGCACTACTCACAGACACAGAGTGTAATTATACACTTTGAACCAATCACAAAGCAAACAAATATTATTATTTTATAAGGGAGAGAGAAATACTTTGGTGTGTAAACTATTAGTGTATAAAATAAAACAAAATAAAATAGGAATAAAGATAAAGGATCCCCTCTCTCTCTGTCCAACAGGAATGGATAAAGAAAGCCGTAAGAGGAAAGGAAAGGAGACTAGCAGTACTTGCAGTCTCTATAAATTTAGAGTGCTGGAGAGGGAACGGGGCAGATTATCGGTGAGAAAAAAACAAAGGAACCAAAAAGACACCAACAAAGCATATAGGAAAAGGAAAGCTCATTTTGAAGCAAAGGATAAAAAAAGGTCCTCACCCACAAAGGCGCAAAGGCGTGGCAGAAAATAACCTACCCCAAGAGATTTGAGTGATCCTTCATAAACAAGTCCAATCCTTTTGGCTTTGCCTTCTCTTTCTTTTATCAATTGCCACCACCCTCCACCACCTCAAAGAGATAATAAAGAAGAAGAATTGAGAGAGCTCTGAAAAGTCCATCTATGTAACATATCAAAAGAAGGTCTGTTTCTTTTATTCTTCTTTTGCTTCTTTCTTTCATAACCCTTTGTCCAATTTTTCCCCTTCCAACTTCCATATCTCCTTATCGTATATAATTCACCTCGGAAAAGGAAGTGTTCAATATCAAAACAAATTCGTATATATCTATATAATACTTGAATCTTTTGTCTGATTCTTTTGCAATATATTGAGGCAGAGTTAAGAAAGGGCAGAGGGGGAGGAAGGAAAAGATCGAGGAATGTGTGGAAAAAAAGAAGAAGATCAAGGAGAGTGTTCTCAAGCTATCCATAACATACAAGGTTACCAAGAACAGTTACTTATTCAACAACACCAACAGATGCAACAGAACAATGATTTATTTGGAGAAACTAGGGGAGGGTTGATATTCCCTGAAGTATCACCTATCCTACCATGGTCTCTCCCTCCGGTTCACACTTTCAATCCAGCCCACTTCACTGGAAACCCTGTTCGAGACCATGACCCTTTTCTAGTCCCTCCTCCGCCATCATCATATGGGGGTTTATTCAATAGAAGAGCTCCTTCCCTACAGTATGCATATGATGGCCCATCGGCTGATCAGCTAAGGATCTTGTCTGACACTCTCGGACCGGTGGTTCAACCTGGCTCAGCTCCTTTCGGGCTACAAGCTGAATTGGGTAAGATGACCGCTCAAGAAATCATGGATGCTAAAGCTCTCGCTGCTTCTAAAAGTCACAGTGAAGCTGAAAGGAGAAGAAGAGAACGAATCAACAACCATCTCGCCAAGCTACGCAGCTTACTCCCAAGCACCACGAAGGTAAGTGGTTGTCATTGCATAAAGTCATGGAAAATTACAAACAAAACAAAAAATGCTTATAAAATTGTCAAAAAGAAACCAATATAAATCATCACGCGTAGATGTCCTAGTATATTATATGGAAGTGTCATGCACCTTTTGTGCATCCTTTTTGTATTTTTATTATATATTGGGCCTTTTCCCTTTAAAGATATCTGTAGATCTTCCTGAGATTCTACTTAGATGGTTGGTCTGATTATATGCTCTCAAAACCTACCCATTTAGACGTGAAAGGTCGTCACATTTCTTCTTGGCCCGTCTTTTTTCAATCTGGTTTGATCTTTTCAACAATAAAAATGCTTGTCTTTTGGTTTATTCTTGACAGTCTTGTGGTAGTTCCAAGAAGAGGGAAAAAAATACCAAAAGGGAATGAGCGACAATGTCGCTCGGTTGATATGATAAAGAGAAACCAAGGGGCAGTTGAAAAGCTTCCATGGAAATGTCTTGCCGGATCATCAGTCAAATTAAGTAGGGAATGAAAAGAAATAAAGAGAGACAAACTAGCATACTTTGTCAGTCACACTATTACGCCTGTTCCGTTCCCTTGAGATAAAAATAAACCCCACAATTAACAACCTATTCTTTGAGCTACTTTCGAGTTTGGAATCAACAAAGCAGAGAGAAACACTAAAACCACTTTAACATATCATTTCCTGTGATCTATTTGATTTTATCACTCACTTTAACTTGTCTTCTGTTTTTCTTGTTTTGGTTATTTCTTGTGATGAATTGATGGGACGAAGCTTCATCGTTAGAACAAGTAACCTAACATGCATGTTAATCAATTTAATAAGTACTACACATGCTACTACATTCTATTCTTACTACTTATTTTAACTACATTTTAATGTGTTTGTAGAGTTTGATACAAAGTTATTGAAATGCTGCTCCTTTAATTGTTCTTGTTTTGGTTATCACTTTGCAACATAGACGGACAAGGCTTCACTGCTTGCGGAAGTAATCCAACATGTGAAGGAGCTAAAGCGGCAAACTTCTTTGATAGAAGAAACGAGTCCTGTACCCACCGAAATCGATGAACTAACGGTGGACACATCGGATGAAGATGGTAAGTTTGTGATCAAAGCTTCAATTTGCTGTGAAGATAGGTCCGATCTTTTGCCTGACCTAATAAAGACATTGAAAGCATTACGTCTAAAAACACTAAAAGCTGAGATCACAACGCTTGGTGGGCGTGTAAAAAATGTTCTGTTCATTACCGGAGAGGAAGACTCAAGTAGTAGTGGTGATCAGCAACAACAGCAGGAGCAATATTGTATTAGTTCAATACAAGAAGCATTGAAAGCAGTGATGGAGAAGACTTCTGCGGATGAGTCTTCTTCAGGGAGTGTTAAGAGACAAAGAACCAACATCAGTATTCTTGAACACAGGTCTCTTTAACTTACAAAAGGCCTTTAAGTACTTTTTTTCTGGTATTGATGATGAGGGTGTTCATTTTTCTTTCCTTTTTTTTTTCTGAGTGTGTTTTAATTTGTGTATTTCTACCAGTACTGGACAAAATAGGTATTGATGGTGTGGACTGTGTACTTAAAAAATGGGTTCAATTAATTAAAGAATATCAGGGAAGAAATCAAATAGAGAAAGAGAGAGGGGAGCTGGGAATGGGGCATGGCGATGGCATGATGTATGATCATTGATCAGCTTGTTGGTTTTGGTTTGGTGAAGCTGATTGCAGAGAAGTGATGAGAAAGAGTAGGAGAGAGGGCCGGGATTGTTTCAATTTAGTACCAGTAAAAGTAAGAAAATAGGCAAAAAAACAATGGAGGATCTTTTTCGTGGGAAGAGAAACCTTATATCAAAACCCAAGATAGAAAACGTGAAGTTGATTGCTCTGATCAGTGGAACCAGTTTGGACTCGGGACAAAAAACACAAACTCTCTGGGATTTTCTTTTGTTTGTTTTCTAGCAATAGTAGTGCTGTTTAAGCCTTTCTCTCCTCAGTTTGATGGAATTTATGATCATATCAAATGCATTAATTAAGAATGGTGACGACATACTTGTTCGTTTTCTTCTTGTTGTTGTCGTGATGTTACACTACCATCACCAACGTTGTAATCTCAGGCTTCTGATTAGTTTCTCCCTTCCCTTCCCTTCCCTTCCCTTCCCTTGTTTGTTTCTTTTGTTTTTCATTTATATTTAAAAAAATGAGTGGAGTAAAGGAGAGACTAGAAAGAAAACCCTAAGGAGGCTGGCATGTTCTAGCACGAGAGAAAGAGAGAAACAGGTTGTTTTTGTTTCTAGTATGCAATTAATGTACATTATATATTATATATTGATATTGTATTTGACTTTCTTGTTTTCCTTCCCGCTCTTTCTTCTTCCCTTTGATCATTACTGTGTTTTTACCAGTTCTGGTTTTCTTTTTCTATTTGAATTTTGTTAGTGAAAGCACATGTGTGTGTGTATATATATATATATATACTTTTTAAAAATATAATTTTTAATTTAAAAAATTATATCATCTACTTTAACTTTTTAAAATATCATTTAATCTTAAAGACTGATTTTAAGGATACGTGTATATATATATATATATATATATATATATATATATATTCATGGTTAATCTATGTACGTACTTTAAAAAAAATTATTTTCCTGGTAATTTATACATATAAGACCTAATTAAGCAGTAATTAAATTTTTAATGCACATTATACCAAAGATATGTGAATGAGACATATGAAAGCTTAGATAGAAGAGTTAATAGTTTATACTCTTCATTGACACGGATCATTAAATTACGTGATGCTTGCATGTATACATATATTATCACATAGTCATTTAGTTAAGTGAATATATATTGACTTCTTTATTTATATTGTTAAGTTGTCACATGATATATATTAAATATATTATGGTTATGTTTGATGCCCAGAATGATAGATAGGACAAGATGATAATTATTTTATATTATATTTTGTTTGTATTTAAGTGAAAATGATAGGATTATAAAGAGGGTTATCATCTTTTTTGTGTAAGATGATTCAATCATCCCAAAATAGAAAGAATTATTTTTAATTCATGAGATTAAGCTAATATATCTTTTTATATTCTTAAAAATTACATCAATAATTTAAATTGTATAAATTTTGAAAAAAGATAATTTTGACTAATAAATAAATTATTTTATTTTAATTCTTGCATACATCAAATATAAAATAAAATGACATTATTTAATTTAATCATATTCATAATATCATCTTATTCTATCTTATCATAATCTTATATACCACCTATGACCTAAATTTATAAAGTTTAAATTAGTAGTTATGAAAATTGTAGGTTAAATGTAGAAGACACTATATATATGTGTGTGTGCGTACGTGCGTGTGTGTGATAGACTAGTTGGTAGTCATTTTGAAAATAGTAAATGGATCCAACTCTCAATCTTCCGTTACTTTGTTGTCAGTTATTTTTAATATAATTTTAATCATCATTTACAAATATATATGACCAAACGCATAAATAGATCTTACATAGGTGAATGATACCGAAAAGTGTATAAAAAAATAATGAACAAAAAAGTAATGACAGGATTACAACCTACTATAACAAGTATAAATGAATATTTGCTATTTATTATACATTATCTACAAGCTATATATGGGGATCGATAGTGATATGTATCTTTAATTATCTTGTATAAATGTACAAAAAGTTGAGTCCAAATGGTCAGCTAATATTTATCTTCACATTTTTTTACCTTTTTTTTAAATTAATTCAGTTTCTTTTCCTTTCAAAATAGTATATTGCAGTTCAAATTCAAGAGTTTTTATTTTTACTTGAACCCATTCTTACCACTTCAATTAAATTCAAGTAGAAACTCACCAAGATTTTTAGAAGCAAAACAATTTCAAAGTGCAAAATTACTTTTTCATCTTCTTAATTAGTTAAGCATCTTAAAAGGTCTCAAGTCCATTTATGTATAAAAGGCAGGAATGAGTAACTCTTTTTCTTTTTCTTCTTCCTTGTCTTTTATTTTTAGATAAGTATAAGATTTCTAATAAAAAACAGTTAAATATATTAAAAGTAAAGTAAAAAAAATGCAACTCAGAGAGATTGATAGACCTTAATGATATACAATATTTTAAATAAGTTTTATCATTTTTTTTTTGAATTATGATGAAATTTTCACTCTTCAAATATGATCAAAATCTGTGCATACATACTACATTAATTAACTTTTAATACATTCTGATGATAGGTTTTTTATTTGATTAAAGACTTGAGGCTCAAATTTTTGTTTGAGCTTGAAAGAATTTCATTAGCTGTTATGCTCAAACAGTAGAACTTGAACAAAAGTTGATACTCAACCGAACAAGGCTTGATTGCAAATGAAACCAATCTAAAATATAATTTAGAGTACTTAATATAATGGTTGTTGTAATCTCTTTCTGAAAGAGTTGAAGTGAATCCTTTCCGGTAACAAAACCCTAGCTGTTACAAATACATGTAGAACAATATTTAAAGTTAAATCAAACTTGTGAGCTCCTGGAAGGCAGAATATATATGACTCAAATTCCACTCAATTTGCTACAATGCTAGGTAGCCGAATTCTCCACGCAAGAAGAAGCGTGTCAACCCGTTATGGTTCACAACCCTAAACCATGATGAGTCGAGGCACGATCTCTACCTTTTCACCAAAAGGAAAAAAAAGACAGAAAGAAAAGTAGCGTGATCTCGACTCTAGCTTCAACCATAAAATTTCGTGGAAATAAAATAAATGATGATAAGATATCATCAGAAAGATTATATACTTTAATGATGCAGTGAGTAATTAGTGTAAGCTATACTGATCACTGAAGCCTTGAGCGAACAAGGCTGGCTGCATCGATCATATATACATATATATATATATATGTGTGTGTGTGTATGTGTATATACTTTTTGTATAGAGGGAACAGGGTACTGCTGCTGAAGAATCTAACGAAGCCCATTGAAGCATAGGCCGTTGCCTGTTTTCGGGGGAATCGAGCAGCTTTTTCTAATGGTAGCTGATAAAGGAGACTGTTGTGGTCATCTAAAATTAAGACAAAGTTTAAGTAGACTCGGAGCTGAAATAATGCTGTGAAAATTGAAGACAGCCGCTGATGAGCATGTACTATAAACAACTGTTATACGATGTTTATGTTATTATATTCGGAACAGGAACATTATAATCTTGCATCTTGGCCTTCCCTCCTGTTTGTATCTTGATTCTTGAGTCTGACTAAAAGAGTGGGCAGCCAGGATTAATATGCAACTTGAAAGGTTCTAATATATCCAAATATAGCCATTCATTCTCCGATATACACAAATCCACACGCAAGTGTACGTTGGGTGGAGTGTGGTACAATTACTGAAATGAAATGGATTTGGTTGTTGAAACTTCATAGTGTTTAGAGAGTGGGAAAGCGAGATCAGCTAGCAAGGACAGGGAATGGATAGAACCAAAGAAAGTGGGTTTGTGAGTGGTTATAGATATTTTTTTTTATATATATCTAGCTAGCTAGTTGTATGTATCGTTTACGTACGCATTCGACTTTATTATATGTGAATACAAATAAAGTATGGGCTGGAATACATTTTCTGAACCATAACTAGCAATGTTTATGACAAGAGATTAACTAGCTTCAAGTCTGATTAATTATATATATATATATATGGGAGTAGTATGCAAAAGACATCAAGAGTTGCACTAAATCTGTAAAATCTAGCAATACCCTAAGTAGATTCTCTCTCTCTCTCTCTCTCTCTCTCCTCTCTCTCTATTACTTGAAGTAATCAAGAATGTTTTTGCCCTATTGTATTCCCTTTCAGTTATCGGATCAAGTAGATAGCTAGTGTGAAAATTTTGGTTATGGAATTAAATGATGTTTGGAAGTTTTTCTTTTTCATTTTTGTTTAATGATCACAAATTCTTCAAAATAATTAACATTGATCTTGGAGTGGTCAATGGGCCGAGTAGCCTATTCAAGCTTGCAAGCCCAAACGATATCAAGGCAGGGGCAGGCCTTGGTGTACCTCGGCCGATGACTACCATTGTATTTTCAACGACAATAGTGAATACTGAAGGTTTGGGTTCGGCATCCCTGATGCCTTGGCGTGAGGATTGTGACACTTGGAGGAGTAACCATCACAATTCACAAACACAATGTCCCAAACCTTCCTTTCCTCCTTTCCAAGGGAAATGCAGCTTCCGGCTGGGCCCTTGCACTTGGAGGAGTAACCATCACAATTCACAAACACAATGTCCCAACAATTTATTTGTAAGAGAAAAATGAGCCAACATTTGATATATAGTTAAAATTATATATGTCAATGTCAGGGTGGATGAAGAGAAAGAGAAGTTAACTATTGCATAACCAAACCAAATACAATATCATTGGGTTATGATGCAATACAAACTACCAGATAATCATCATTATTATTTTTTGTTTCATTGTCATTTCTATTTTCTTGACCTGTGCATCTTAGCTTATATATCATCATAATATTTATTATTATCCTGTATCATTTTCCCCATTTTGAAATTTGACTACTTATCAAATAATAAAAAAAACTCGTGAACCTATATAAAATCCTTGATCATTTTCCACATATAGAAACTTGTAAGAATAATGGGAACGAAAATCTGAAATGAATAAGTTGTCCACGCGAGACATCTATTGGCATGCCACGTGGATGAGTGGAATTTGTATCCATTTTCTTATGTGGCAAAACAAACTATTTTTATTGAATAAAATCAAGAGTAAAATAAAATGAAGAAAAAAATGAAACACATCTATTATCCAAAAGAGAGAAAGAAATTAAATCCTAATATGCATACATGTCCCTAATTTTTTTCCTTTTTACGCCTTGTTCATAATTATAAGAATAAGATAATAAATACATAAGAAAAACCAACAATCAAATAAAAAATTATACATTAAAAAAAAAAAACAGAAAAACTTTTGGATGGAGCCTATCTCAGCCCAACCGATAGCACAATCGGCACGACCGAATCATAAGCGGGTTGGATCGGCACAACTCGATCGGGATTAAGTTGGATTGTGAGATAATTATAAAGATGACAAATGGGACTGGGTTGGAGTAGATATTTGTTAACTCCAAATTTTATTGAACCTAATTTTTTTTAATTTTTTTTATTTAAATTAATTTGATTTGATATTATATAAATTATATTTAATTTGATTTGATTTAAAATTAATAAAATATTATTTTTTAAATATAAATATAAATAATTAATTAATTAATTAAAAATAAAATTTATCTAATTTCAAATCAAATTTACCTAAAACTTAAATCTAATTTGATCTTAATTTTTTTTAATCTGACTTAAAATTTAATTTTTAACAAAAAAAAAAATTATAAAATCGAATCGATGAAAATTCGTCAGGAATAAATTAATCTGCCAACCTTAGATAATCAACAAAAGCTTGTGGGACCCTTTATTTTCTTGCTGGGGACCGACCTTATCCAAGAAGCTAATTTTAAAAAAAGGTACAAACTTTAAAATTAGCAAGAAGCCACGAAAAATCTTTACATTGCGTTCCACATTAATTCAAAGAAAGTAGAAGTTAGCAAAATCTGCTTTTGTTTGAAATGCAGGAGATGAATACAAGAGTCTGACGACAAGTAAAAACTGGTGGGGAGCATGACACGGATTCGCACACAGAATCGTTGCCCATAGACATAGACACAGACACAGTATGACAAGTAGGAATCAAGTTACTGACTTGACATTCCCAGCTATGGAAAGTAATCTACATGTAATTATCTCCATATCAAGCACTTATTCAATCCGAGTTCCACGTGTCCTCATGATATTAATTTCACTATATCTCCATGTCATTTTCTGAGAGAAAGGAAAACCTTTTAAAATCGATAAATATCTCATTCTGAGCTTTGAACTTTAATGTGGACACCACCGAATGATTTCTTGCTTTTTTACTAAACTACCCTTTTCTTTTTCTTAAGACTCGCATACTATCCTCCAAATTTATTAGTGGTAATTTCGTCCGAAAGTATTCTCTCACCACAAACAAAGACCTTGCTTTGGCGTTAAAGCCAAGTTGCCATTTTTGGTTGAGTTTGAAAGGTTTTCTTTTCTGGGTGTGTTGAGAATTCCGTCAAAATTTTATTTTTGTTTTTGGGGTTTTCTGGGTATGTTGGTAGAGAGAAGGAGAGTGATGAGCTGGAGGAGAGTGGGGAAGTCGCTGCTGGCGCTGCTAGCCCATGCCTTGCTCTTCTCTTTCACCCTTTTACTCGCTCTCAAGCTTCATCATGGCGTCTCTTATTCTTGGTGGTTCGTCTCTCTCTCTCTCTCTCTCTCTCTCTCTCTTTAATTCACTTAATTTTGGGCTTCAATTTGTTTCAAAACTGTTGGGTTTTATGGAGAAGTAATTATTTTTCTATTTTATTTTGTGCCTGCATTCACAATATTCACTGTGTCATTTGCTTCCTTTTACAATATTCTCGATTAAACAAAATTCTTAATTTTTCATATATAATTTCTTTTGCAATTAATTTTTTTTCTAAATTGAATTTTGTAGGTGTAATTTCTTTTTTTAGTACAGTTAAATTCTTAATCTTTCATTTATAATTTCTTTTGCAATTAAGTTTTTTATTTTCTGACTTGAATTTTGTAGGTGTAATTTCCTTTTTTAGTAAAGTCAATTTGGCAACAATTGGAAATACACGTGATTTTGAGACGGAGTAGAAAACTAGAGGGGGGGGGGGAATTCTTTCTGAGATGGAAAATGTTAAAGTTTTGTTTGCTTACACTGTAGATTTTGATTGTGGGTTTGGCATGTTCTCTGCCGTGAAATATTGACTGGTTTGGCTTCTCTTTTGGGATCGCCTTGAAATTCAAACATATGGCAAGTGTCATAAAATTTCATGGTTGAGGGTTTAACTGATAGCTTTTTTGTTTCTTCATTTTCGTCGGTGATATGCCCAGTGATTGATCTGTTGACTTGGATACTTGTGATCATATATAAAGTTAATGGTTTCATTATATTTAGCTATCGGTCACGCATAGAGGTCCTCATGGAACTGCTAGTTTTACACTTAAACTTTATAGTTGAATAGTGCAGAACAGAACATTTAAGCAGTTGTTGCAGGTCAATGTAGATTCACTAGTTATCTTCTGTAGGTAATCAGGGAGATGAGAACATGTAACCTTTTTATGCTAGTAAGAAGGTATACTGCTTTTTCTTGAGTTTTCTATTTGCTAAAGACTGCTTCTTCTTTTTTTTCTTTTCCTTTTGTTTCATCGTGCAGGGTTGTATTTGCCCCTTTATGGCTTTTTCATGCAGTCGTAGCACGTGGCAGGTTTTCTTTGCCTGCTCCAGCAATGCCTCACGATCGCCATGTATGACAGATCATCTCTAAGTGTGGATATCATCTATAGCTGTGACAAAATATTTTATGGCATTGTATTCAAGAATAATCCGGATCAATAACATGTTTTTCTTATGCACAGTGGGCCCCCTTTCATGCGGTCATGGCGACGCCATCGCTTGTTGCTTTTGAGCTACTTTTGTGTATACGTCTTGACAACAGCTATGGTACACAGGCAACATCCTCTGAACATAATACTCTCTGGATATGCTTGTTCTTATTTAACATAATAATCTGTAGATATGCTTGTTCTTAGTTATGAATTCTATCTTTTAATTTTTTTATTGCTTTAATACTTTCCATCTTAGTTATACTCTCTGATTTGGTGGATCAAGGATATTGACATTAATGATTCACAAATACTTATTATGTTCAAGTTAGCATGTTAATAACTAATACTCTTTCTCCTACCAATTCATTTTTATACTGCTTTAAGTATCAATATTCTACAAACATTAGTTTCTATCTTCAACTTAGTGATGTATTTATATGAACTTATCCCTTGTTTTGTAGAATATATATTTGATGCTTCAGAAGCTTAGTACATCTATAAATTGCTGATTAGGGATTATGAGTATCTAATTTCCCCATTGGATTATAATAATAATTTAAATTGTTTTTGGAAATGGATGTGTTGCAGTTGTTGATTTGAAGATTGTCTTTCTGCCCCTGCTTGCATTTGAAATAGCTATTTTGATTGATAATATCAGGTACTATTTTGCCCCATTATGTTATTCTTCATATTTTGTTCCTTGAGTACTTGATGGTACTATAAAGTCTTGTGCTGTGTTAACTAAATTGATTTGCTACACTTTTTGGCTCCAGCCAACAGGAATCTGAATGAAATCTTACAAAACTTATTGACAACCTTACAGATTAAATAAACCCACTATTGCACTATTTGCTTCTTTATATCATGTGGTGTGGACTGTATGCCTCTTGCCAACTTCATCTGTTGACTTACTCCAACAAAATCGTAAACATATGTTGTGTATTCCTTCTCATTCTCACCTAGCTTAACCTCTAATTATGTTGGGAAAAAAAATCTGTTGGATTGCACCGTTTTGAGTCTATTGACTTGTCCATTAACTATAGCAAGACCGGTGATGCTATAGTATTTTAGCAAAGCACTAAGTCAGATGTAGGCGGGTGTGGGATTGTGGTGTTAAATGTTACTGTTATTTAATTCTATCTTATCAACTTTTTCTAGATGCAATAACTATTTTTCTTTAATTTTTTACAGGATGTGCAGAGCTTTAATGCCTGGAGATGAGGAAAGCATGAGTGATGAAGTGATATGGGAGACACTTCCAGTAAGTTTGTAATTATTAGTGAATAAAGGATTTATTTTGGAGATATCACATAACTCATAAAAAATTTTCTTGGACCTATTTGCCTTAGTGCTTATGGTCCACATAGTCATAAGTTTTATAAATGATGATTTCTCCAGTGGCTTTGTGTGCTTATCATCCTGTGGTTTTCACTGCATCTTACAGAATCTAGTTATATTCCTTACAAGTCATGGAATTATTATATTTCTAGTAATAGTAATTGTTGCTGTGATCTTTCTCTCAACTTTTGTTCTGATATGCAACTACATGCAACAATCTAGTAGATTTTAGAGAAAAGTTAGAAAATGGAGATGCATGTTAGAATAATCAAACATGCATATAATGCATGTCTGTGTAGCATGTGTATGTCTGATTCAAAGTTCAAACATTGTCCAAATTTTACTGCCATGCACACATTGGCCTTAGTTGATGTTGTAGTTAGTTATTTGCAAATTGAATTGAGAAGAACCAGGGATAGGATTGGTTAGATATTGTGCATTTATTTCATTTTGTTGCTTTTAAAATCTTATTTGGTTCTGTCCCCTTTGACATTTTTTTGAACGTTACAAGAAGTGGTTTTCTTTTTTTGTCCTCTGAGTCATCAAAAGTTATTTTTTTAAATGGTGATTAGAAAGATATATTAAATAGAATAATTGCTGAATAAGAGGTTAAGTTTGTTTGATTTTATCCTTTTATTTAGTTTTTGACAAATAAGCAGAGGTTTGGCTTTAGACTAAATTATCTAATTCTGCTCTGGTATATGCTCTCATATAATTCACTTTTATGAGCCTTCCGATGTTTTAGTTGAATAATGCACTAAGTACTTCCTTATTCTAGATTTTTAACCACAATTCAGTTCAAGCTATCATTTACCTTATCTGGTTAAATGTGATAATGATCTAGCTTTCTCATGAGCTATATATTAGCAGTTAAATGTTGGTTAATAGTTTCTTGTACTTACATAGCCTATCCAAAACCTTTGCTTGAATTTTATTGATTCTCCTATCTTTGATCAAGAAATTAGCTTGAGGAGACATAAATCTTGCATCATTGACAGTTGAGTCGCTCCAATTTTTGGAACTCACGAGCATTGTATTGTGTAAACATTCCTCTTCATATCTCCCTGTTTAATCTCAATTAGCCTATCAAGAGTTTCATTGTTTTAACAACTATTCTAAACATCATGGTAACTTTTATTTAAGCATGATGCTTCCTTTAATGGTACATTTTTCACTTGGGACAGCTTAATTGATTGAAGAATGATAACCAAATGTTTTTCCCCTGATGTACTGAGTCATATGGTTATTAAGAAGGGGGAAAAGAAAAAAATAAAGTTAAAGACACAGCAATAATGATAGTATCTTCAGTGCAACAAACTGTTTACCTTTATAACAGCATGACATCAAACTTAAAAATACTCATTCATAACCAGAGCATATGCTCACGTACCATGATAGTAACGATGCATGATATCTCTGTGATGATCTATTTGTCTATATCATCTAAGCTAAAGTGTTATGCCTTTATAATTGGTCAGAGAACTGATTCTAAATTTCTATTATTTGGTTTGTAGCATTTTTGGGTTGCAATATCTATGGTCTTCTTTATTGCTGCCACAACTTTCACTCTTTTAAAGTTATGTGGTAAGTTTGTTTCATAGTTTAAATGGTAGTATTTACTTGTGTAGTCATTCATGTTTCTTTTGACCTTTCCTTCTTTTTGGGTTGGGGGGGGGGGGGGGGGGGGGGGGGGGGACTATTTAACTAATGGATTTATTTTACTTTGTTATAAATGTGAATTCTCTGAAGACTGATACGTTAGCCAACATTCCCTTTTTCCTGCTAACATATGTATTCCAGTTTCAAACCATTCACAACATATGTGATGCTAATACTTGATTGATCTTCAACGACATGCAGGTGACGTTGAAGCCCTAGGCTGGTGGGATTTATTCATAAACTTTGGGTAGAATGCATTCATTTTCATGTGATGATTTTCACTTCTCCCGTGCCCTTTTTCTGTTGGAATAATCTTTTGTGTTCTGTTGCAGTATTGCAGAGTGCTTTGCCTTTCTTGTTTGTACTAAGTGGTATAATCCAGCAATTCATCAAAATTCCCACCTTGGAGAAACCAGCTTATCTTCGACTATAAGATACCTTGACTGGAACAGAGGCTTGATAGTATCTTCTGATGAAGACAGGCACCAGAACAGCAGAATATGCAACCTGCAAGATATTGGAGGGCATGTAATGAAAATTCCATTTATTGGTTTCCAGGTCATGCTTTTCATGCACTTAGAGGTATAATTATTGTTAAGAAGGGCCTTTGTTTGGTATTTTCCCAAATGTTCAAGTTTCATCTTAAATATATATTAATCTGTGATGTCAGGGAACACCACCTAGTGCAAGAAATATATCACCTCCAGTCCTTTTTTCTCCTCTTTTGCTGCTGCAAGGAGCTGGGGTTATTCTTGCTGCACATAGATTTATTGAGAAAATTGTTATTTTAGTACATAGTGGAGCTGGATCTGGAAGATACTTTGATGTATCATCAAAAGTTCTTGAATTTTTTGGGTTCTTGCACCGTGGATCAAGGTAGTGTTTATCAGGAGTTAGTCTTTAAAATTTGGTTAACTTTTGCTCAAATTCTACCGAGTCTGTAACAATCGGGGACAAATGCAATCATTGTGAAACAATACTCATCATTTATGTTTCTTTTCTTTCAACAGGTTGCTCGGTTGGTGGTCAATTGATGAAGGAAGTCGAGAGGAACAGGCTAGACTTTATTGTTCAGGGGCATCTGGGTCTGTTTTCTACATTGCACTCTGGTTCCTTTATGCATCCATTCATCTAGCACAATGCATAAGCAACCATTTTGGCTGCTTTCTTGAGGAGTAACTAGCTTATATCCGGTGAATGCTTAGACTTATAAGTATACCAAAAAAAAAAAAAAAAAGGTTTCTCCTTCATAGTATGATGTCACTGAAAGTGTTGAAAAGTTTTCATTAGCAACCATCATGGCTGCACAAGCAATGCAGTAAAGTTTCCAGTTAGTCACCTGTATCGTATTGGTGGCTGCTTTGTCACCTTTGTTCATTTGTTGCCAGTTAGTCAAATGTCTAGAGTAAAGTTCTTAGGAAATGATTTAAGTACGAAGATATCGTTTCTTTTTATAACATGGAGACGTTGCCATGATATGACACTCCTTTAAATCTTCCATCCACTATTGGCCACAAGAAAAAGAATCTCTCTCATTCACATATATGCCATTGCAGTTTTCAGGCTTCTGCTTTTAGTTTATTATTCATGAAAAGAATGCGTTAAAAAGCATTATAAAGAAAAGAATAGTCATGAGATGCATTCATATTAATATACTGAATTTAGCAACAAAGTTTGTTTTCTTCTCATCATGTGTGCCAGTTGCTTTTATTGCTTACTATGGGGTCTTCTTGGGTAGTACAAGGATAATAACAGGCTTTTCCCCCCTTGTCTCTTTGCTGATCTTATCTTTCATCCTCTAATATTCAGATATAACACTTTCTCGCCTGATATTGTGAAGAAAATGCCAAAATCAGATCTTGTTGACGAGGTAAACACAGTATTTGTCATCTTCAAATTGTGAAAGGATAAGATTCTGCTTTAGTTTTAAGTCACTTTATTTTTGCAATTGTTTTTGTCTGAGTTGTTAAATATACATTCTATGAGATCTCTGTTTACCATCAAACAAAGTTGTACCAATATTTTAATTTCTTTTGAATACAGATTTGGAGATTACAAGCTGCACTCGGTGAGCAGACAGAAATCACCAAGTTTAGCCAGCAGGAGTTCGAGAGACTTCAAAATGTATATTTCAGGAGATGACTTAAGTTCTTATCAAGTTACTATAATCATTGGGCAACTATAGACTGTAGTGCTTATTAATTTATTGAATCTGTCAGGAAAAGATTCTGTGTAGAGTTTGCTTTGAGGAACAAATCAATGTAGTCCTCCTCCCATGTAGGCATCATGTCCTCTGCAGGTATTTGTGTCTACCCTAGAAATATTGCTAATGTTCTTTTATTCTGGGCTATTCTTGTTCTCTATCAGTATTGGTTAAACTAAGATACATCTCTGAAATCTTTGGCTTAGGCATCATAAATTCTCATACCATATTTTTGTCATATGGCACATGCATAATAGTTCATTTCTTATCAAAGGAGGTGGTGCTCATACTCTTTTTCTATTAATTTGCATCTCAGTACTTGCTGTGAGAAGTGTAAGAGGTGTCCAATCTGCCGTGTTTCTATTGAAGAGCGACTTCTAGTGTATGATGTGTAGTGTCGAATTAGCGGTAGAAATTTTCATGTAAAATTATCAAACCCTTAAAGAATTGCTTGTGATTTTTGATGAAGCAAGCATTGAGAAGCTGGCCATTCTGGTTTCTCCGAACATGATATGGTTGTCTAATGCCATTCAAGAATTGTAAATAACTTGGTGCATTATGAAATGAAATTAGTGATATTGACATGTTTTGCCTGTTCTCCTCCAAAACTCTGTTTTATGGTTTTGACATCCATCAAATATGACACACATAGATTGAGCTTTTAGGGCTTTTCCAAATAATAAGATTGGTGAAGGTCATATGATAGAAGATGCTTGGGCTTTTTCTTTTCTTGTTATTAAATGGAAATAAAGATAGTGTTACCCAGATAAAGGTCTCTCTCAAACTAATTATTTAGTTCTCTGATTTCCTGGAATCATTTTGCTTGCGTTGCGTTGCTCTGAAATGCTTTTATTAAGATCTTTAGTTCTTAATAATTGAAAGCCTACAGCGTTAGGACTTAAGACCTGGACGTTTTTTTTTTTGTGGTTCAAATAACAAGAACAAGCGTGCCCGAGATTTATTTATCATTCAATGATAAAAAAAAAAGGCACTGCTCCCAGGCTCCATCAGCCTATGATGATTCAATTGGTTAACAGCTTATGCTGCCCAGAAACTGCTTTCTATGCGTATAAATTTATGGGATGTTCCACTTCAGTGACTTCACTGCTACAGCTTAAAGCTATATGAACAACAAGGTATTTCTTCACAGGTATAGACCAAAAAAAAGAGCTGCAACAGCCAAAAGACTTGCAGCTTCTGCTTTTTCTATGCTATAAACCCCAATCTCATTCTTATAGGAGTCATGAATCTCACATCGAACATAATAAGAAGGTCACTAGGGTATAAAAAGATTCACAACATCTCTACCTTGTGAGACGCCTTTTGTAGGACAAAATCGTGAGGTCATAGAGGATCAGAGCGGATAATACCTCACAAGGATATGAACCGTGGTGATTAGATTAATCTGAGATGCTGGATGAGTGGATGCTCAGGTCCTGGAGTCGCGCAGGTTCAAAGCTTAAGTCTCGACCCGTGACAGTTGGTATCAAAGTCAGTCCTATACCGTTCGATCCACATCAAGCACCTCGAGAGAAGTAAGCAGAGTGATCAATTTTCGTGACAAGAGCGTCACGAGGTTGAGTTCGAAAAAATATCACGGACCTAAGGAGGAATCCTGAATCTCACATCACACATAATAGGAGAGTCACTGGAATATAAAATGGTTCATGTCATCTTCGTCTTGCGAGACGTTTTTTGTAAGATAAAATCGTGAGGTCATGGGGGGTTAAAACGGATAATACCTCACAATGGTGTGAACCGTGACGGTTAGACTAATTTGAGACGTCGGATAAGTGGATATCCGAATTCCGAAATCGCGTGAATTCGAAGCTTAAGTCTCAACCCGTGCCACTTTTGCTTGCCTCGTTATCTTCGAAGGTGGATGGACTTTCAAATGATTCTCTTGTTCCGCCTGTCAGTTTTAGCAGTGTGTCAGTTGCCGCTATCCCCTCTTTGTCTCCACTCTCCCACCGTTGTTTACCCATCGAGGAGCTATCTTTTCATAGGTAAAACTTCATTGTTTTGTTGACAAGGAAAGCTAATTCTCCGACTCAATTGAGCTACAACCTGGTACCTTATATACATTCTTCTCCTTCATGAATTCCCTAACTTTCTCAGCTGCATCAAACTTACCAGCAGCAGCGTATATATTTGATAACAGCACATAATATGCAGGTTTCTCTGGCTCTAGACTAATAAGTTTCCTTGCAATTCGTTCACCGACTTCAATATTAGTATGAACACGACAGCCTGCTAGAATAGCTCCTAGGATGGCTGCATCAGGTTCCATAGGCATTTCTTTAATAAAATCCTCTGCCTGCTCCAAAAGCCCAGCTCTTGCCAAACAATCAACCATGCTAGCATAATGTTTCAACTCTGGCGTCACCCCATAGGCCCCCATCATTTCAAAACACGAACTCGCTCTTTCTGCTAGTCCACCATGGGCACATGCTGATAATATACCAAGAAATGTAACTTGATTGGGTTTAACCCCTTTGGCAACCATATTATCAAAGAGTTCCAAAGCAATACTCACATTGCCACTCAACCCATATCCTAATATGAGAGAGCTCCAAGAAATGACATCTCTTTGATTAATCATATTGAAAACTCTATGAGCATAACTTAGTGTAGCACACTTTAAGTACATATCAACAATAGCATTCCCTAAATTCAACTCCATCCCCAAACACCTTCTCACACACCATCCATGCACACTCTTCCCTTGCTTTAACCACCCCAATTGTCCACTCACCAAAAGCAAGCTTAACATAACCACCCAATCAGGCGCAATCCCAGCATCTACCATCTCTCTAAACAATTCCAAACCCAACATGGGTTCCTCATGCTTTGCGTATCCATCCAACATGGCCGTCCACAACACTGCGTCTTTCTTCGGCATTCCATCAAACACAACTCTCGCATCAAAAACCTTCCCAAAACTAACATACAAGTAAACCAAAGCAGAAGCAACATATAAACTCCTTTCGAAACCCAGTTTCACGCACAACCCATGAAAAGAAACACCTAGTTTCACTTGTCCATAACTCACGCATGCCCTTAAAACAAGTGGGAGAGTGAAGTCATCGGGCCTGGCATCAGAACTCTGCCACATTTGAAGAAACAAATCTATGGCTTTAAGGGGTGAATTTGAGCGCGAGAACTCGCCGATTATGATGTTCCAAGAATAAATATTCCTTTGCGGCATGTGAAAGAAGACTGAAAGAGAGTGGGGGACGAGGTTGTTGTGATGAGAATAGGCCAAAACAAGCTTGGAACTGAGGACAACATTGTTGTACAGCGAGGTTCTGAGCAAGCGAGCGTGGAGGTGGCGTAAATGCTTGCAGTTTGGCGAAGAGTTAATAAGGGAAAAGTAGTAGGAGATGAAGCTGGAATTTGTTGGATTTGAACAAGTCAGCGTTGAATACAGCTTCTTGAACAGATTCTTCATTTTTGCTCTTGAATTACTTCTTTATTATTATTGATACTACTATATAAGTCATTCTAAAATCAATGACAGTTGCTTTGGGAATAAAACCAATTTTATTACCAAATGCAGGAGTATAACAATCGGAATCACTACGCAAATTCTTAGGGTATAATATAACAAGCAAGTTGGTGGTTTTTGATTCCTTCTTCTTCACCTTCCCTTCCAGCTTGAATAGATTTTGTGTTACTAAATAGAGCCTTGGACTAAACGTCCAATCCCCTTATTCAATTATAATTTCCCTATCACATAATAAATCACCGGGAATCAAGAATAAATCACAACAAACACGAAATTGACTCGACAGCCCTTTGTCAAGGAAGGATGGGATAGGATAGCTTGTGCTCAAATTGGTGCCTGTCAAGCACATGTTGCTGTGATGGCCAATGTTTCAACCACCGGCTTTGGGGCTGGGATTCCATTACTTTGCTTCATGTTTTCATCCTTCATCTTTACAAGGAAGTCGTTGAAGCAGTCATCCAATGTCCGGAATGGCTCATTCGGATACAGACTGCTCACTTCAATTTCATTCCGGCCATCGATAGAAAAGTTAACTTGACAACCCTTTATGAAGATGTCATGGGTGAATGATGCAACAATACTTTGTGGGATACGATTCTCTGCAAAAAACAATGTACAATATAATGACAGTTGATTAACTTTTATTTATAGTTAAGTTTGGCAATATTGCAGGGCAGATTCAAATTGAATATTGATAACTATAGGTGGTCCTTTTGGTGAATTGATTCGGGTGTGTGACAGATTGAGTGCGAGTATGAAATGGACCTGCGGCAGCCGAGAGAAGGTCATTTTCAGTGACGGTCACTCTCGGTAGGGTTCGTCCGATTTTCTTTTCCCACAAAGTTGCGAGCTCGTTAATGTTATATAAATTGCAGGCTGGCCTAAAATGAACCGACTTGTTCACGGTCCTAATGTCATCAACAGTTTTCATGGTGAATTTTCCTATATCAGTGCCGGCAACAAAGTAAGCTGCACCAGGTCCACGAGGAAAAACAAAGAATTCAAGATCAGAATTTGCAGAAAATTATCATCATCATCAGCGGAGAATAAGAAATTAGGATACTGTGAAATATTACATACTCCACTTAAAATTTACCACATGGATCATAGCGTCCATCCAGACATTGACAGGTAACAAGAGTAGATTCAAAGCAATAGTTAGTGTTAAAGCCAATAAGGGACAAGTTGGGGCATAGACAGTGTCCCCAACTCTACCACCCATTTTGGGGAATTGGGACAAAACTATGCCGCAACAAAGGACAAGTGGGCGCATAGATAGTGTCCCTAACTCAACTACCCATTTCGGGAATTTGGACTATCTATCTGGCCTGGTTCGTAGTGCTTTGTCATCGTGATGGATATGAATGCGATAGTGACAACACCTTTGAAATCTATTTCTTCCAAAGTACTATTCCAGTACAAAACTAAGTTAATGAAAATGCGAGAGTAGAAATTGGCCAAAAAAATTGTGGTGCTTATTCTTTTATAATTTAAAAATAAAAAATATAGTGCAGGATTTTTTTTTATATCTACTCAAAAACTCTTCACAATATATAATTAGAAGCATTTATAGATTAGATTTGGGTTAGATTTATATTTGATATTAATAATTTATATATTTTAATATTTAATTTAATATTTTAAGTCTTAAAATTTTTTTAAATTTGATTTAAATTAAAAAAATAAATTTTAAATGTATTCATTAAATTTAATTTATATAATAAAAATTAAAAAAATTTAAATATAAAATATAAAAAATAAAAATATACATATATACACTCATATAATTATAACATTTTAATTATATATAACTTAATTAAATCGAATTTAGATTTTATTTTTATTTTTTTGTTTATGGTCTAATTTAAAATTTAAAATTTAAAAGAAGATAAAAATTATGTCTAAATTTATTTAATAAATTTTAATTTTTTATTTAAAATTTTTTAAATTTAGACGAATCTTTATATTTAAATAGATAATTCAATTCTTAAAAAGACCTATATAAACATGCAATGCTAATACTTTCATGTATGACTAAACTAACATGATCTAATCTGATCGATACTCCTTTATCCTCAAAGCTAATTTTTTTTGTTTTGATTTATAAGAAGACAAACGTTTATATAAAAACAAAAAAACAAAAAAATTAAAATTAAAATTAACGTCCATGCTTTTTTCTTAAAAACTTTTATCTTCCTGTCTTTCTCAAAGCTAATGACTTTATCCAAGGACGAGCCCATCAAATGTACTTTGTCTCATCTTTCTCTTTTTTTTTTTTTTGGTTAAAAAATAAAAATTTATATTTTAAACATGCTTATAATTAAACATTCCATGGTTTGACCTTTATTTTAACAAAAATTGTTTATGCTAAAATTATACTTTAAGTTTTAAAAAAATAAAATATTTAATTTTCTTAGGAACCCAGCAACTTTTGTATTATTGGCAAAAAAAAAAATGAATTGTATTGTTTATCATAAAAATTAAAAAGGTCGTTTGACTATTCAAATACTTTGAAAATGGTCATACAGGCCACGTGTCAGAGTATTATTCCACATTTGGGAAGCTTTTCTTCGAAGGGAAACCGAAAAATAAAAAACTACTAGAAAAAAAAATCAATCCCCTGCGAATTCTTTTCATCATAGTTTTGTTATCTTATCTACATTTATATATTTATATACATATATATCTTTAGATATAATAAATGCAGGATTTAATTTACTTTATTGACATGCTTTTTCTTCACTAGCTTAATTGTAATATGGACCTAGTTGTCTCGAGTGGGAGAAGAGTAGAAAGATATTTATTACTGTATTACCTTTGACGCTGCCATCTCCGTAGATTTGAAACTGATCCAGCGGCGGAATGACCTCTGAAGGATGCCTGTTGTCGTAGTAGGGCCAAGAAGCAATGGAATTACAACAAATGTAGGTGTAAGGTATGGCCAACGTTTCAGTCAGTTGCCTGACCTGGCGTTTTTCTTTGTACATGGTGAGCCCTGGCTCTACTGGATCAGCCCTGTCCACATCATGTCCAAACTCCGACGGCAAGAACCTCTGGAGCGAAGAAATAATTAATTTTTGAATGCCCCATAACCCAAAATGTAAAGCACAAGCTTTTGGTTCCAAAAAGTAATAGCACTAGTTGTTTAAAATTGCAATCTAGGTTCCTCTACCTTAACTGTGCCGGCAGCTTTAATTGCCTCAACTAGACTTAGCTGGTCTAGTATTTTATCACCACCTACAGCTGATATTACTATCTCAATCTGGTGCTCTTTCAGCAGTTTCTCCATCAACTCCTTGTCATTTGCCAATCCCTGGAAACACACATCAACCATCAGACAACAGACAACCATCCATAACTGTCAAAGAAATTTAGGAAGCATATATGTAAAACGAATTAAAGTATAATATTATACGTGCAACAATATGGCGCCTCTGTCCTGGAGGGCTTTGGCTACTTTGTTCTTGGAATGGTTTACGCAACTTGGCCTGACCAAAACATAGGTGGGCCGACCAGCATCTAAGCTGGCTTCAACCAAAAACTGGCCAATAAAGCCGGTTGCTCCGACGATGAGGACACGGCCGTTAGCTGTGGAGACAGTCATGCTCGCAAATTAAGAAAAACACCAAGAAAACTCAAACAACTCTCTTTATCTTTTTCGTTATTGCAAGATTTTATATAGCAAGAGATCAGAGTGGTTGAGACTTGAAAAGTTGACCAGGGAACCAAGGAGTGTCGCCCTATATATAGGGGGGCTGGGGTTGCCAAATCGTCACATAGAAAATAGGAATTGTAGAATAGAGGTTCAACTACCATTCCGGCTCCAACAACTTCAGCCCATATATCAACGTCTCTGATCCCTATACAATAAAACATTCCAAACCAACGGATGTACAGATTTATAAATGTGAAGTTGGTCCGATTGTACAAAGCATAACTTGGAACGTGGTCACTCTTTGTATGGCTCAGATGGAATCTTGTTCCTTTGAGGAAAAAATGGGCAACTATATCTTCGAAACTCACTTTCACAAAGAGATATTTTTTTTTCCATCATTAATTGAATGAATGGATAATTAAATTCTTAAATGTTAAAATTGTTCTTAAAATAAAGTGGTGTATAGAGCTAGGTTTGACATCTTTGACTGATAGATAAGAAACTCGTGAGTGGTGATGGGATGAACAAATGAAAATCGATCTCCCAGTCTATTGGATTGGAAAATGATATATAGATGAGGCCTGAGTGTGTGGCTTCAACACGGCCTTTATCATGGGGCTTAATTTTCTGAAAGTTAGTTTTGCGATTAATATTATTTCTTTGCGATTAATATTATTTCTTTCTCACAAAAATATTTCAGATCGATGGCCAATTAAGAACTTAATAATTAGAAGGCGGGAGGATATACATATAATATAATATGAATTAGTTGTTGATTGGTAAGCACTCAATAATGATCATTAATATATCTATAGTTGGCTAATGACCTTAATAATTTAAAACTGACTTTAAGCTTGCTGCTTAATTTCCAAGGTTTCTAGAAGTAAAATTGATGCAATTGGTTTACAAGAGGGATATTGAGCAAATTGCAATAATGAAAATATTTGATAACACTAGAGAAACTATGTTTGCTTGTGTTGATATTATGATGCCACCCATATCCCTTGACCTAGCGAAGCTAGGAGGAAGGCAATTGTTACAAGCGAAAAGAAAATGTTTGTTTTTACCAAACAAAAAGTTTCTTGTCAAAAACTATTTATTTTGCTATTGGATTCTTTCTTTCTTTTCTTTTTTTTTTTTTTTTTTTGCTTTCTTTTTATTCGTAAGTCAAATAAAATGCATTACTATATGTTTTAACAAATTAATGAAACTATGAGAGGTTCAAGCACAATCTTGTTAATTAAGTTAATTACAAATGAATCCCCATTGTGTTTATGTAAAAACTCTCAAACCCTTTTACTTTTATGGTTTGTTCGGTAGGGTAGATAAAAAATGAAAAAATAGAAATTTAAAAGAGGAAAAAAGTAAAAAGATAAAAAAATATTTATTTTTTTATTTTTATTGGTGTGCTTGACAGGAAAGATAAACAAACTGATTTTCTTTCCATCAATTTTTATGTAAAGTAATTTGAAAAAAAATATATATATATTATTTTATAGTTATAACCTTTGTAAATTAAAACAAAAAAATAAAATCTAAATATGATGAACAATTTATAAATATAATACTTACTCGTCCTTTTCATATTTTTTTCTGTTTTTGCTAAGAACAATAGAAATGATCATCTTTTTTGCATTTCTTCTCTTGTTTTTTTCTTCCATCAGGCACATCCAAAATTATTTTTCTTGTCATTTTCCACGTTCCTGTATTCATTCTTTAACTTCTTCCTACTCTACTAAACACACCTTTAAATTTTATTTTCCTTTACCTTGTATTTCTATCAGTGAATATACTTATATTTAAAATCAAAACAAGTCAAAACTAACATCAGTTCAATATTAATTAATTTCATGAAATATAATATCTCAAAATAATGGAAGTAGCTTACTTGAACTTGATATATAATACTAATGTATAGATTTAGCCTTGAAACTCATTGGCAACACCACTGGGGAAGTGAGATAAGTAGATGTGAATAATAAACACGAAAATTAAACATGAAATTAAAAAAAAAAAAATTAACATATTTTAATCCCAGATGAAATTAACACCAAAAATAATAAGAATAAATCATTAACCAACAAGATTCGAAACCAATCAGAGCCTAAATCATTAATCAACAAGCTACGAAATCAATCAGAGCCTTACTCTTTTATATTTAAGAAGAGAATTTTAGTTTATTAACAAGAATAACAAGTGTGCAGAAAGTGATGGGATTAGAAATGTCAAAATTAATATATAACGACGAAACGAGGAGAAAAAATAATTCAAAAGAGGCAAGTGCAAATGATATACCAGAAAAGTTAGATCTAGTATCGAGGTTGCCTATTCACCTAACGTATCATTGTAATGTTACTCACCTAACTTTATTCTTCCCAAAATGTTGGTTGCAGGCTGAATTCAATATAGATTAAGGTCTTTAGTAATTTTTTTTTCCTGTTGTTTGTGAATTTGGGAAATTATATACGTAGGTAACTCAAACAAAACAATATCTAGAAGTAAGCCAGCTGGCTCACATCACCAAACAATAATAATGTTGATGCAAACTATTTCAAGTTGGTATGTGGGATCCTGTTGCCTATGGCATGCTTGAAATGATTCAGCTTTATGCCCTAGCTAATGGCTTACAAATGGCCTTTGCATAGAAAGAAAAGCATGGTAATCATGGGACTTGCACGTTACAGTAATCATGGGACTTGCCCCATATTGTTTTAATAAATCAATCTTAAAATTTATTACATGGAATCTATTCCAACACCCAAGTTGGTGGAATATTATTAGCCCTACGTTTGTGTTAATTGGAGAGCATGTAACATGATAAGAAACATGCACGTTTTCTTTAGGTTAAAAGTGTTAAAAGATTGAAAAACTTTCGTCTACTATGTCTTCAACCTTATTATATAGTGGTTACACGTCTTTGAATAAATGATTTGTTGATAATTTAATGCATCCATCTTTCATCTTTACAATGCCGCCACACAAAAAAGAACTGAGACATCAACTTGTTCTGACTTAATAAGTTCATAGGCTTGATCTTACGTCACCCTCGGAAACGAAAGAAAGCTTCCGTCCCCAACTTATGTCGAAAAATAAAAGGTGAGCTTATCAGGAATAATGGACAAAAAGATCTTGTTAATGGATTAATTCTTTACCTAACAATTCGATACCTTAGAGGTTAAGAGTGGATCTCATTAAATAAAACTTCAATTGAAATGAATTTAAAATTTAATTAAATATAATTAATTTTTAAAAAATAATATTCAATAAATTTATGACTTAATTTTATCGATTTGAATTTTTTTCTTTCTATTCAAAGATGACAACTCCATCGTGCGAGCGAAAATTACGTAGTAACCACGTCATTTAAAGCGAGGGACCAAAAGAGAGGTGGCGGCCATCGAAGCTAGCTAGGACCGATAGTTGGCCAACTTCGTAGTGGCTGAATGGTGAGTCCACCAGAATTTTTGACACCCTGTTTGCTTTTTGGCTGTTTATAATATCTGGCACGTAGTGGCTAGGGCATGTGCATTAGATAACAAAATTGAGAGGGGATGGACAGGAGATCGTTTATATGATAGGGTCATCTTCTGGTTCAAATTAAACTGATTGTTTCATATTCTAGATTTTTTTTTTTTTGTTCATCCTCTACTTATTGAAGTGCCTGAATACTTTTCTTTAGCAATAAATTAAAAAATATAGGAAATTTTAAACCCATAGAAAGAAGAATATTGGAGTGTATGAATACTTTTCTTTAGCAATTTAAAAAACTTAATATTTTTTTCCCTCCAATGAACAAGTCAAGTCTTCATTGGAACAATTAGAGGGAGGGGGGATGATCGTTGAAAATAGCCAAAAAGAAGAAAAAAGGGACAAGAAAAGAAATAACTCTTTTATTATTAGTTCAGTACAATCAAATTTTTTAAATTGTGAAAGAAATGTTTGACCCGCAATCATTGCTTTCGAGTCGTCGTCTCGCTTAACAAGTAATAACAAATAGCAATTTGGGTTGATTTGATTTGATTTTTTATAATATATATATATATATATATATAAATGTTTCTTGGTCCAAATCTTATTCATATTTTCTTCTTCAATGATTTGATTTCCAAAGAAAAATGTGTATCTCAAGTTTCAAAAATTACAAATGGTCAGAGCTTCAGGGTCATATTTATGAATTTTGGAAAATTTTGTATCACAAATTTTTTTAATGCACGAGCCATCCTGCCTTTTAGTCACATGGCATGAACAAACGTTGGATTTCCTTTTCTTTTTTTTTTTTTACTAATATAAAAGTTTGAATTTTAGAACATGTTGTTTAACGTGTATTTATTACTATCGTGTAATTAATTTGCACGTAGCATTTTTATATCGATAAGTTAGGTGCTGTCTTTTGTTTGGTTTAAACTTCAATTATTTAAACTTCACGGCTGTGTCGGGGGACCGCGTTCGTGTCCATGGCCGAAGAATGCTACAGGGGATCAAACGCATGGAACTTGAATCTCAGCCAGCGATATTTGCGGAACCCAACAAATTGGTAATGATCTCATTGTCGTAGGTTCATTACCTAATGCTAATTATTATAACTATTTTCGTATTTTGTTTTAGATATTGTCTTCAAGTGGATAAATCAAATGTCAGAAGCAATTTTTTTTGTATCCCTTCATATGCAAAGTCGTTGTCCTTTTAACATTTTCCTTATCACAATTCTAATCGGTGGTTGTGAAGTGTGAAAGGAAATTAACTTATAATTTTGTTGGAGAGAAAACACAACAAAAGTGCATAATGGAGATGTGGGTCAGGCCGTTTTAGGTTCACGGTGAACAAAAAACGACAAGCTTTACCAATTGGGTTTATAATTATCATCCATAAGTTGAAAATTGCAATGGATTTCAGCAAGAGGTCATGATAATGGATCAACACAATTATCTTCTACTTTGTTTAATAATCTAGATAAATTTTTCATTTTTTTTTGGTTTAACTACTAAATTTATTTTTGATTGAACATTGATATCATAAAATTTTTAAAATTTATGCACTAAAATCAGAATTATTTTTTTAATACTGGGATTAAGAAAGTAACAAGTTAAGACATAATGTTATTAAACAGATTAACATATGGTTTTTCAATAATTTCATATGTACCAAATATATTTATTGCAATAATAAAAAAAAAAAAGAATGCTTTTCAATTCTTAACCCTTGGGTTGGTTAGGTGACAAAGAAAAAAAAAAGGCGGTGTAAAATCATGGCAATAATTGCTAGGGATAACTATTATTTGATTAAAATAAAAAATTAAATCAAATCAAATCAATTTGATTTCCGTCGGTGTGGCTTAACAACTAAGAAATTTCAGCTCGATATCAAAATCAAACTGAATTAATATTTTGGTTTCTTGTAATTTTGAAACTAATACAATTAAAATTTAAATAAAAATAAATAATATAATAATATTTATACTTTTATAAATATTTTATTATTTTATTTATATAAAATCTTTATATGGTAATATTTGCATCTAAAAATATATAAATTCTCTTTAATTTAAACTTTCTTTTGAAAAGTCAATAATATGTTAAGACTCTGACTCTTTTTTTTTTTTTTTTTTCAAAATAACGTTTTCACACTATCATTTATTTTTTGTAACGAAAGATTTGAAACAAATGAGCATAAAATTTTATTTTAAAATTGTCCTCATCAAGTTTCAACACTGATTTGTTATTGTTTTGTGAGTGATTGAGTATATCTCTTTAATAAATAACAAGATAAAATGTTATTAATCTGATTAACATATGATTTTTCAATAATTTTACATGTACCAAATCTATTTATTTCAACAAAAAAAAAAAAAAAGAGTGTTTTTCAATTCTAAAGTTGGCTAGGTGACGAAGATAAAAAAAAAGGTAATAACATGGCAAATATTACTAGGGAAGAGTATTATTTGATTAAAATAAAAAATTAAATTAAATCAAATTGAATCAATTTATTTTTATCAGCATGGTTTAATGTAAAAAAATTTAGTCTGGTATCAAAATCAAACTGGATTAAAATTTTGATTTCTTATAATTTTGAAACTAATCCAAATTACAATTAAAATTAAAATTAAATAATATAATGATATTTATATTTGCATAAATATTTTAGTATTTTATTTGTATAAAATTTTTATTATTAATATTTGTATCTAAAAATATATAAGCTCTCTTTAATTTGAGCTTTCTTTTGAAAAATTAATAATACGTTTAGACTGTTTTAATTTTTAATACTAGTATCAATTTTTTTAGTAAAAAAGTTTTTTATTTTTAAGATAAAAAAATTAAATTTTTATTTAAAAATTTTCGTATTCGAATTTTTTTAAAGATCAAAATTTTTTGAGTTTCAATTTTTAACTTAATCAATTCAATTTGATCCAAGTTCAATAACATTTCAAACGAATTGTTGAGCTCGAATCAATTTTGCCACCTCTAAGCCTTTTCTACTAAGCAATAAAAGTAATCCCATTAATCCGGTTTCAAATTTCAAAATGGAAAGGAAAAAAAGCACATTTTTAAAGAATAAAAAATTATTAGTACTAGGAAGAAATTGAGAAGCAAAACCCTTTTTATGTTTTGCATCATTCAAAATCCATTTTAAGAAGCGAAAGCAGAGAGAGAAGAAAAATAGATGCTTTAATCCATTGATTTTTAGGTGATTGTCATGGCTGGGTAAGTAGAGTATCATCCTCCCTTTCTCTTGCTTTGGCATTTCCTTTTTGTATAATACCATAAGAAAAAAATGATTACTTCTGGTATTTAGAGCAGTTGCTGATGTTTCTTTTTTTTTTATATTTGATTTGGGCTTTAATGTTTTTGGATCTTTAGCTAAGTCCCTCCGTCACTTTCTTTTTTTGGTCTTAAAAAATATTTATATATTGATTTTCTGGAAATTTGCAGGAAAAGTGAAACGACCATCTGGGCAGTTGTTAATTCGTTTATTTGTTTGTTTATGATTATGGGTTTTTTCTTTTTCCTTTTTTCTTGTTGTGGATTTATGTAGCAGATGTAGACGATGTCTGTCTTCTGGGTTTTCGATTTACTTACATGTTTGATGAACGCACACTAGAATAGAGAAATAAGAGACTGTGAGCTGTGAACTGACATGTTCTCCTTAGTGGATTTAAGGGTACTGACATGTGAACTGACATCAAATGAGGTGTTTTTCACCAATTAGGTTATGATTTTTTTTTCTTTTGTTGCTCCTTTGATGGAGAATCTGGGAAAGTAAACATTTTGTACTAGGCTTTGTCCTTGACTCCCAAGGATGGTGAAGGCTAATTCTCCATAATGGTGCTAATACTTTTCTTTTTCTTTTGATGTTCTGAATTGAGACCTGGAATCCTTTTAGATGCTAAAGATGATGGTTGATTTTTTAGAACTTATTCTTGTTATTAGATTTTGCTTTTTGTATGTTATGTATCATGCCCTGGCTTAGGGTAATTACATGGAATCTTCACTCATACTGTTTCAAGGGGGCCATTGTAATCATCAAAGATATGCTTCATCTAGGTAGTACAAGTTCTATAATTCCTGGTGCTACAAGTATTACTGATATACTGATCTTAATGCCTTCTTCCTAAAAGGAGAAACAATGAAGGTCTCATTTTGAAGCTCCCTTGATTAAGAGAGAGATGTTATCTACATATTGTAACAGGATTGGTTTTTTGCACGGTTGAGGTTTAAGGGTTTGTTTTTTGTATGCCACAGTATTTTGGAGAATAACTTCTTATATCATGCTATATTTGTCATTGTCTAGTCTTTTGATGGAAGGATTTGATAGTTTTAACTAATTATCCTATATGGGTAGGATTATATAATCCTACGGAAAAGGAGAGGATTGGATAGTCCTATGTGAATAAGCTTATGTAAAATGAAACTTTTTTATGATGCATGCATCAGAATAAACTAAAATCAAGACAATTTTACTCATAAGTTTTGTCTTGTCTGATCTTATCCATTATCCTATACGCTAAATGCAACCTAACTTTTCCTTTTATTTTTGTCCTGCCAATTGATAGCCTAGCAAATCTTACTGTTCATGCAACATAGACAAATAGATTTCTGATTTCATTTTAGTCAGGCTTCAGAGACCTATTCATATTCATGACATGTGCTCATCTTTGGGTGTGTTATGCAGAACATGGTTGGTGGATGGTAATAGATTTGCAACAAAAATCAGGAGTGCATCTGATCCTGAAAGGGTGACATGGAAAAGCAACCCAACTAGATCTTGTCCTAATTGCCATCATATTATTGACAACAGTGATGTATAAGTTCTATCTTTTGTAATGCTTCTAGTTTTATGCTTTCATTACCTAAAAGAGATTAGTTGAGCAAGCATATTATAGTCTGTGCAGATCATAATAATGCATCTGAAGATTATATTAGTAGTTTTGGCAAAAAAAAAATATATATATATATATATATATTATATTAGTAGCACAGAAATTTTTTGAGTTCTTATCGCTACCTGAACATCTGCGATGATGTAAACAATAAAACGAAATGTTCAACTGTTTTGCCTTAACATATAACCAAAGTTACATAACTGCTATTTGGTAGAAGATAAGATTTTACTGCATGGTATCTGAAATAATGGCCATCTGCACTTCTGTACTATATCTCATTACATGGTTCTATCTATCAAACTGGGTACTACATATTGCAAATACTTGCTCTACTCTTAACTTGTAAAATCCCAGTCTCATCTGAACTAACTTCTGTCATACAACAATTTATCACTTGTATTGGAGCAGGATAAATGCTTATGGTTATGCATAGTTGTTACATGTGATGTGATTTACATCTCCTTGCATCAAATGTCTAGATTTATTGTTAATATACCAGTTATATTCAATGAATTTTGAAGATGTTGTGCCTTTTTATGGTTTTGACACTCACCAGCCGAAGTATCAGTGTTTTCATCGACGCGTTACAAACTCTTGATGTTCTGATTTCGCTAGTAAAATGTTCTTTTCTGTTGTTTGACTTGCTAGTAACCATAAATATTAGGGCATCGGTTAATACTCAACTATGAACAATAGAGCTTTGATAAATGTAGACTGCAACTAAAGATGTCTTTTTCCAGGTCGATCAAGCATGGCCAGGATTACCACGTGGTGTAAAATTTGATCCATCTGATCAAGAGATCATATGGCATTTACTTACAAAAGTTGTTGAGGAAGATTCAAAACCCCATCCATTCATTAATGAGTTCATTACAACCATTGAAAATGATGATGGAATCTGTTATACACATCCCCAAAAATTACCAGGTTGTTAAAGATTAAGGGTTTTTTATATTCTTTTCTTCAAACATCTTTATTAACTTTAATTCAAAAAATTGTAACTTTAGGTGTTAAGCAAGATGGATGTGTGTCTCATTTCTTTCATCGAGCTATCAAAGCTTACAATACTGGAACTCGGAAGCGTCGAAAGATCCATGGTGATGATTTTGCTGACGTTCGCTGGCACAAGACTGGTAGGACAAAACCAGTGTTGTTGGATGGTGTTCAAAGAGGATGCAAGAAGATTATGGTTCTCTATATGACCATGGTCAAAGGTGGAAAACCTGAGAAGACAAATTGGGTGATGCACCAATATCATCTAGGAATCGAGGAGGATGAAAAAGATGGGGAGTATGTTATTTCTAAAATATTTCATCAGCAGCAACAAACCAAACAGGTTGAGAAAACTGAGCAAGATTTATCTGAAATGACTGATGTAATGATGGTTAGAGTTGATCCGGTTACTCCCAAATCTGTGACACCTAACCCTCCACGTACGGGGAGGCAATGCCATGAATACGACCAGGGGCAAGAGTATACCACTACTTGCATCAATCCCTCTGCTCAGGTTAATTTCTTATTCTTGACTTTTCCTAGCTACCAGCCTTTGAATTCTCTGTAGATTGCTTTTATCTACTTCATGCAGTAGTTACAATTGGGACCGTATTTTCTGTAGCTACCTTCCCATAGTGGATAAACATGTGTCAGCTTTTGGATTATTTTCATTTCCCTATAGTATAAAAAAACTTGTTTTCTAGGAGATTGTCATGTAATGAATTGTGGTTAATAACCATTTACAGGCAATATATTCATATGCACTGTAATATAAGTGGTTATTTAGAACAAGGCCCTAATATTTGTCTTTTCTCAGGTTTTTTTACCAAAGCATCCTACAGTGCAGTATGTAGAAGATGAAGTTCAAACTGAATGTGAAAGTTCCAGTCACAATGATCTATCTGATGCAGAAAATCATGTTGACCGTGTGTTAGATAACAATAATAATAATGATAATCATGCTGAGGAAGATGCAAAATGGTGGGATGGTGAGTCACAGTATTTGTTGGATTCACAACAGCTGGTGGAAGGGCTTTCTCTTTGTGACGAGCTCCTTCAGAGCCAGTCACCAAATAGGGATCCTAATGGTAAAGATGGAGCACTGGACGGCAAACCCCGTCTTTCTGATTATGCTCAGTTAGGATCAGAACATCTTAAGAAGGATTTGGAGGAATGTCAAAACCTGGAAGGTGGTCCAACAAACATAGAGCTTGATACACCGCCCGAGTTCCGCCTGAGTCAGCTGGTATTTTATATCCTTTCCTAACTTGTTTTACTATATAGTGAATATTCAAACTTTGTTGTTACCCGGTTTCCTTCAATTATAATGAACTTATTAAATGGTCTTGTAGGAATTTGGATCACAAGATAGCTTTATTGCTTGGGGTGGGAGCAAGGTGGTTGACTAAATACATTTGTCTTGGATCATGAAGGAGAAAATACGTAGTAAAATATTTTATGAAAACTTTGCCTGATCAATCATCATTAACTGGTTCTATGTCAACTGTAAATTTTGCTGGGAAGCCTTAACTATGTTTAATGATGGTGAAGTACTGTTGACATTTTGCTTGGGGTAGTTGCTGTTTGTATAATATTTCTGTAACCCTTCTGTTCAGCAAGAGCTTTGAGAAAGGGATACTAATGCCCCAATATATGACCTGTATTTGTATCTTAGCTGTGAAGCTTTGTATTAGTTATGTAATTCTAGCTATCAAGTTAGCTTCCGGTAATCATTATAATATATGCTCTGAAAAATTTCCCCATCTAGTGTAATGTAACAGTTAACAAGCTTCATTATAAATGATGGTTCCTTCACGTTTCTGTTTAGGAATAAGCTGCTAGCCTATTTAGTGGCATGGTCAACACTGCTGTTAATGCACAGTTCATTTAATAGAGTGACGGGAGATGGGAATCTTGACTGACCAAAGAACTTGGTAAAAATGGGGGTTAAATTCTATTATTTTTAATACGATTCATGAAACCAAGTGTCTTCTTGGGAGGGGAGGGAATAGTTTTAGACCTTTAACTCGGCATTTATTAATCCTTGGGTGTAATCAAAGCAGCTGCAAAATCCTAAGCAAAGATATTTTAAGCTAATTATATGACAAACATTGGGCAATAGGAGCATGTACATTGTATATATATTTTTTAACAAAAGAGAGCACAACATGAGGATATGGGATATGAGAAGGAAAGTAGGCAAATTATATCTGTACAAGGTGTAAAATAACATCCTTGTCTTGATTTTTAGAAACCGAAGGTGGAAGCTTGTCTGGCAATTTCCCTTGTTTTGAGCTTATCCATCAAAAGGTTGTATGCGAGGAAAGAAGAAGAATTCCTTGGGAAAATTCAATGCCATGTGGACCATCTAATCAATAGGGGAAGTCATGATCTGTCAACATCAAGGAAAATTATTAACGGATGGATTGAACGTACCAATCAAGGCAGCGCATTCAGATAGATGAAACGTTCATGAACCTATTGAGCCTTACGGATCATAAAAGTTGGATTGAAATGACTAGAGACTCCACTGGGCCTGGCTACAAAAACTGATCAAAAGGTCCGAAGAGCTTGTCTCATCGTTCATTAATTAAGGAGCACGATTGCTTTAGGCTAAGCTAGGATATGACCCCCCAACAAGCCATATTGGCTGGCAGCTTGTTGTAGGGAAGTGCTGTTGCCAAATGAGTGCAGGGCACTTTCTTAGGTGTCTGAGGCAGGTCTGCGCCGAAGATTTTCTGAGCAAACACGTGAGGATTGCAAATGGGCCTCAGGGTGTTGTTGAAGAGTTTCAATTATAAGTCCGGGTCTGTTATATCGTTGGATGCCATTCCATGATGCAAACTGAAGAAGATACGTAAATGACCTCAACAACATGGCCAGTATCGATGAGTAACACGATGATTTTGGTTAGGACAGTGCTCAGGTCATGCATTTCAAGTCGTTTTGTTCCTTCTTTTAAGCAACAAATTTTTACTATTGTACTTGCGAGAGGAAAAAGACCGAATAGGGGTTGTGTATATATATATATATATATAGAGGATCGAATTGTTTTACCATTGGAACAAATAGGGGTTGTGCATTATAATAATTTATTAATAAAATATTAAACTTTTAACTTGATTAATTTAAATTTAATTTTTTTAATATTTTTAAATTAAAAAATCACATTTTATTTTAATTGTTCCTCTCATGAATAATGTGTGTCAAAATATGCTAGATATTATATATGAAATAGAAAAGATCTAAGAAATCATAAGAAACTTAATGCATCAATGCGTTGATCTAATAACTCAAGTTAAACCCAAAAGTCATAACATAGAATTGATTTATTTGGAGGAACTGATGAGATAACCAAATTGAACTATAAAAGAAAAAAAAAAACAAATAAATTCCCAAATAAAGCTAAGTTGCATGTCGTTGCTTTTCATGCACCAGTTAAAATTATAGCAATTCAATGAGCAAGGGAATATATAACGAACCTTATTCATGTTTTGGTGGCTCGTAACCGAAATTAATGATTGGCAATGACAACAAAATCATTATATATAAACTCTCCTAATCTTTAGCACACACCTGACCTGCTGTGCCCTGCAGGCTGCAGCCCCTATGAGAAATTTTTTCCTTTTTTATAATTTGAATATTAAGAGGAGACAAGCAATTCTGAAGCACCCCAATTGTCTATTTCCTGTAGACAATGATTTGACATGTCAAATCTAGCACCCCCTGGAAACATCTAGTTTTTCTTTCTAATCTAATTAATTGAAGACCTCAACTAATTAATTTGTGTTACCAAAAATATATTCCAATTCCACATTTTCTCCAAGAGAATGAATGTTATGAACCTTTTAATATTTTGATCAAAATTGAATCAGATGCAAGGGCATGCTTTTGTCACCTGCCACATGCATTATTGCATCTTAGTTTTCAATAATGGGATCAAATTGATGAGAAGATAAGCTTAAGAAAGCTTTGAAACATTGCACAGAAACAAAACCTGTTTAATAATTTAAAGCAATCCAATCCTTTTCCGAATCCAAGTGGGGCCAATTTCCCCTTTGCCACTTTGCTCAACATATGACTGATACTTTTTGCTCTACTTCTTTTAACTTTTGAGTTAACATGCAAAATCCTGTAATATACAGATGATTATACATTTCAAATCTTTCAAGTGAGAGGAAAGCCTGCATTCAGCTGGCATTCATTTCTTTCATGAAAATACAGAACATAATACAATAATAAAGAGCAGGGAAATTGGGACCCCATCGTTTTCATTTTGTTGATTGAAAAAGAATCGGACACCCATGTGTGGTGGTGGGGTTGTGGATTAGGAGGCGCACGTGGGCTTTGCCAACTCCTGCCTTTTTGACCATTAACCTTTTTGGCTTTGTCTCTCTCGCCCTAGTCCCTATGTTGAGCTGACAAGGTGGCACCCTTCCTATGTGGCCGACAACAGAATATTACATTGCAATTTCAGCTCCTGTTGCTGCTGCATACCCTAAACCCACCCATGGTGCCATACCATAACATCTCTCCCACTTTCATCCCGCACCCTATCTCCTCATGACACGTGTAAGCTCAAAACATGAGATTAATACGTGTCTTCAATCCAGAGGATGGGTGTTTTATTTTGTGAGACTGAACGTATCTGATGGCTATTAAATTGACCAAAACAGTCACAAGCTTTGCTCAGTCTGCGGTTCTCTTCTCAGTTCTCTCTTTATCTTTTATTTGTAGAAGAAGAAGACAAAGAAAAAACAAAAGGGAGTACTGTTAGATGCAGAGAGAGGGGGGGCCATGGGCCGTCTTTACCGTACACGTGGCGCACGTGAACGTGGGTTGTGATCCAATAATTCAACTGGCCCACATCCATCAACGGCTACCAACCATGGAATAAATAAATAAGCCCTGTGTCTGTTTGGATCCATGCTCATTAGTCATTACCACCCACTAAATTAAATTAAAAATGGTTTTCATTGTAATAAAACATGGACAATGCCGTTTGGTCCAAGACAAGAAAATTAAAACAAGGATTATGATAAAGACCTCTTAACAACCTTAATTACTTTAATTTTTACAAACAAGGATTATGGTGTTTGGTCTTTGATGAATGCTACAAAGGGTTGTTCTAAGTTTCTTTTAGGCTTTAGCTAGGACTAGTACTAACAAAAATATAGTCATGTAAAGAAAACAGGGGACAGTCCAATCATGATATTTTTCAGTGACAAATTTTAGCACTTTTGAAGCTAGTTCTTGGGAAGGTAGTGAAAAGAAGAAGGAAAATAATTGGTGAATTAATTAAACTGGTTTGCTTAACTTGTATCATCATTATTACTTAATTGTAGTAGTTTATATGATGGAGCCTACAAGATTGATGCCCATAAACAGGAAGATCTAATCAAATATCTCTAACTCTTACCCACTTTCAGTTTGATTGTTTGTTTACTCTTTTTTTTTATTAGAGGGCCCCTCCCCCCGAAAAGCTACTTACATAGGATTGGTCAAAACTTTCATCATCTTGGTACAATTTTAGGATTAAGCTAAGAGAAATGACAATACAAAAGCGACAATTTTTCTTATCAATATATTTTAAATTAGAAACCTCATTTGTTTCTGCAATTTTCAAAGCCATCATCCTGATTCCTAACTCAATTTGATAAAATCCATAACAAAGAGTTTGCTTACCTGCCAACTAAAAGTGAGTAAATTTACAAGCAATAATCTTTCTCAAGTTCTTTCCTTGGACATTTCCATTATTGTGCATTGACTTGAAGACTTTGCAAGTTGGGCAAGCGCTTGAGTATATTCGTCTCCCCATGAATCTATCCTGTAACGAAACTCATGGAATCACGGTTGATTGGATCTCTCTTCCCCCAGTAACCTATGGTTGGTAACAAATACTGGAAACGTTTTGAGTTGCATTCTATTTTGAAATCCTTTAATCATATATATGAATCTCTAATTCTATTTCACTTTACCCCAAAGAAAATATTGAAAGCTAAAGGTCAGTTGCTTTGACCTTTTTGATAGAGGGGACTAATCCCAAGGGAGGAAAGCATCATAGTCCAAGCACAATCACAAGTGAAGAATTCAAAGAGAACATGCTCAAAGTTAGGCTCAAATGCTCATGATGTTGGTCATGGAAAGCCGCAAAAAGAAGCAGATGGAAAAGAATAAACGACCATATACTTTGTTAAATAATTAATATCAAAGATTTAATTCAAGCTATCAAATTTACATCTTGGTCGTAAAGCCAAGGCATACAAAAATTGTTTTTTTAGCTCTCCGATAATATCCGCTGCTAGTATTTACACTCCACCAAGAGAAGAAGAAAAAAGGAAAAAAGACCCCCAAAATCCTCCATAACCATTAGCATGGCCAAGGAGCTTCAATCATGCCAGCAAAGAAGCATAACCACACATCTTCGTATAATATAAAGCTTAGCCCTTTGCTCTCGGAGGACCCCTCCAAGGCCTTTGCTTGATAGCCTTCTTTTTGAGGCTCCCATGGTGGCACTGCTCATCTTCATCTTTACCTTGCGCAGAATTTGATGATTGTGAATGAAGAGAAAATAAACTAAGCTTTGTGAGTTATGGGTTTGGGTGATGAAGTGAAAGAGGTAATGTTGGGAGTGTTCTTATAGGAAGGAAAGCGGTGTGGTCCTAGCTTAACATTGGTCTAGCAAAGAGCCAACGATGGGGCATGAAAGGGCGTGCGGTGCCCCCAAACTCACCAGACAACACCACTTGGACCCCACCCCCCAGCACCACAGGAAAATGATAATGGAAATACGAACGAGCCCCTATCTCTTTCTCTCTCTCATTCTCATTGCCATGTCATACCCTATATCCTCACTTCTGTAGGCATCACCCACCAGCACAATGGGTCGGCCATAATTTTCAATAAGCTAGCAAATTTCTCTTGTTTATAATTATTCATGCCTTTGCCTTTCAATTTGCGGATGACGAGTAGATTATTAATGGATGATGAGGAGACCATCTCTTTTTTCTTTAAAAAGAATTGCTTTTTATTTTGTTGTTTCTTCCTTATTTTTCTGTTGGAACCAACTCTCTTTAGAAAAAGAAAATTAAAGAAAGAAAAAGATAGTTGAATCCTACATAACAATTCATATTAACTTCCACTCACTTTGTCTAATTAGAGACCTAACATTTGATAATGAGCTCACCTTATCTTCTTTTATGACCCTAATTTAAGATCATCAATGTAGGGAACAATGTTGTCATGGATGATTAATTAATTTTACTTTATTTATAGTAATCTAAACGATAAACTAATTAATGTTTAATAATGACTTATGATGAGACAAGAAACTGAGTTTTGGAGACGCTGTGCAACTGCTAATGAGGATTAAAATTACATGGCTAGGCTGCATCTTTGTGTCTTTGAAGGAGATGCCATAAACATCTCACTGTCAGAGAATTATAATTATTTTCTAACGTATTTCTTTATAATTACATCATTTAACATAATATTCATAATTTTTTGGCACAAACATAATAATTGGACAGCTCTAGGCTTAAAATTGTTTTAAAAAAAAAAAGCTGTAAGTTTCATATTTCTGGATATTGAGGTTCTTGAGTTTTAACCAATATTTCTTTCAAAATTTATTTCCAAGCTTTGAATGGATGCATCACATTATGCTAGCTCTGTTATATATAGCTAAATGATGTAACTATGTAAAGTTGGCAGCAGACCAACTAGAATAAGATCCCATGCACCGACATTGTAATCCTTGAGATTTGCTAGGAATTTAAATTCAATTCACATCTAGATTTCACTAGGTTGAAATCCTGGTGAAGCATTTGACAGAGTGGTCACAGTAGAGATGAGATAATTAAAAGGAATATTATAATATAAAAAAGATTGAAATATTTTGCATTTCCAAAATCCAAATCAATGGTTTCTTCCTGTTTTTGAAGTTGGCAGCTGAAAATATTCATCAGAAGTACTGGCTTTGCAGGAGTTTGAAGCCACTTTGCTATCAAATTGATCACAAGTACAATATAAAATCCCCTAAGAATCAGTAAACCCACATGCCAAATTCCAGGAAAAAAAAAGTCATGGAAGCAAAAACCTCAAGCCTCATGGTTATGACCAAAGATTCCATTATAGTAGAACAATAATAAGACTGATAACAGCAAGGTAAGAGCTCAAAACCCAACTAAGTGATTGATTAAAATACACTAAACATAAAAAGCAAAGCAAGGCACCACTTGCTTGGTCTCGTGTTCCTCCCATTTCCTTTTATATATAGGAATAGGACGCTAACTTCCCTTAACCCTCGCTCCATGTAAACAATTAACATTTTCTATTCTATCTTTGAACGATATTTTTAGGCAGTCAATATAGGTTTAAGAGCGCCTCTCCATTCTTTTTATGAGTCAAGACAAGATTTCAAGATATTATTTGTACTGCCTGTTAACTTATATGTCAAGTAACAAAATCTCGATTCATGATCTGGACCATATAATTAAGCTTTTTTCTTTCAATCTCAGCCTAATTAAAACTTATGGGAAAAACTTATATGTGCATGAATCGATACAAGTGCTTGAATCATTTTAAGTTTAGGTTTTAAGTTCAAGAATTTTAAACCAGGAGCATAATATATACCAATGATACCATGCATGATGTGCATACTCATTTGGCAATTCGAATGATCTTGTAAGCTTTATCTAATCATATTGTTTATATTGATGCTTAAAACTGTGCTTAGTTATAACATCACAACCTTTGAAGATAAAGAATATATAACATGTTATAATATGCAATAATTTATGCTTCCAATAAAGGGTTAATTCTCTGTGGTCAAATTCAGTAATTGTTCCCTAGCAGAATATCAAAATGGTTACATAAATATGGGGTGTTTAGACAACCAAAGCTTTGGGAATTTCAATTTACTAGATTAGAGACAATGTTACATAAATTAATCTATGAAATGCACTGTGATCAAAGTTTTACAGGTTTAGATCAAAGTGGTCGCTCCTGCTGTTGCTACAGCATTTACATTTATAAAATGGCTTGGCTTGGTTGCATTGTACTGAACAAGGAGGTCAGAGTTGCACGTGAAGTTATCGTGATTTGTAAATGGCATTGCCTCTAACAGACTCAACATTGTTGATATAATTAATATTCTTTGTCATCTTGTATATATTTATGATTTTGAATCACGAAGTACTGATCAAATAGTTTTTTTAGTTAGTCCCATCACCTTGTTGATGTTCTTGCTGCTTCGTTATTATCATGCAACTTCTTTCCCACATGTTGTGCTCCCATCACTTTCCCTCTCCCTCAATTGCAGTTTAAATTGTTAACCCTTCAATTATTCGATTGGCTAATAGTTTCCAATGCCACTTTAGCTCTTTCTTTGTCTCCAAGGTGAGTAAGGAGGGTCCCAACTCATATAGCTGGAGTCTTGGAAACCATTTGATCAGAACCATTGAGAAGGGAGAGGTGATCAAGGCAATTTTTTTTAGATCTCTTAATAAATTCAATTTTTTTCCATTTATAATTGGATTATCATAGAAGAAAGGAATGGATGGGGGAAAATGATGCAATTGTCAAAGAACTAAAATATTTATCCTAATATGCATCCAAGTAGCTAAGAAATGAGAGAGTATTACCTCTCACTACATAACTCCACTCTACAAGTAAAAAACCACAAAAAAAGAAAGAAAAAGTTATGATTCTATTAATTATTATTGCCTTTGATTAGCATTAATATTACATTTGTTTCCTTGCTTATATTTAAACTATGATGGACTTTGCTTAGAAAGAAGCTTGCATGAGAGTTCATTTAGTACTTAATTAATCACGTGCGGATGGATTTTTTTTAAGCTGATCACGGTGTCTTATCAGCTCTCCATGGCCGGCAAGGTCATTGCTGTTCATGGTACAATAATAGGTTATAGCATGTTACTTGACTTAATTTCCTGCCTGGCCCTTCCCAATCAATGTGCTAGTTAATAATGCAGATGGGCTTTGGGATATGGAAAAGCATTCTAATTTCTATGAAAGCTCTCTAGTTTTCTTGAATAATAAGTGGAGCAGGGTGTTCGACTGACAACTCCAAACAACATTATCTGAAAAGAAAAACAAAAGATGGATGAGTTTAGGTTTGGTTTGCCTTAAGTTGTTAGTGTTCTTTGACATGGTTTTTAATTGGTTACTTACAAGGAGGAAAATGCATATACCAGTGCCAATAACTTCAACGGTACTTCTCTTGTTTTTTATTCCAAAAATGGAAAATAAAAGATTTTTTTTTCAAATTCTTTACTTTTTGGAAAGGCAGAGAAGTACCTCCTATTAAACAATGTACAATTCTTGGCAGCTGTACTTTGGAACCTCAGACGAAAACATCACGGAAATTGTTTATAGTCTTCAGAAGTTCATGCAAAGACACAGCATGCTTCATAGCAGTTTCAGTTAATTCAGAACTATACTAAAACTTTTATTATTCTCAAATGCCCTTACACGTGCATTAAAAAGATTCCTGGTATGTTCTTATTGAATTCCAGCTAAATTCCTTTTATCACCATTACTTTGTTCGATCAGAATGGTCAGTTGTCATTAAAACACAAAATTTACACCCAAAAAGAGAAAAAGAAACTATAAAAAATATGTATATACAAACTCTATTCCTCTCTGGGGATCCACCTGCTCCACCATACGCTTTTACTGCGTCTGCTAAGCTCATCCATGCTCTCATTCAATGTTCTAACAATCTTCCTCTGAAGTCGAAGAACTGAAGCGAGAGCATTTCTTTGTGGGCTCGCTTTCTTCTTAGGCTCTATATCCTGCACAATGATAAGAATACTCAGTTGAAGGTATCCGGTTTATGATGTTCGCAAGAATGCATTCTAATTAACTACAGTTTGACACAGACTCTGAGTTCCTGAAGCTGTGCTTCTGTGAAGCCACCCTCTTTCTCTGTTCCAGATTTTGCCATTAGATTTGTCACCCACTTGGCAGCTTCCCCATAATCCTGCTGTGTAGCCCTAAAGAGTTGCAGCTTCAGATTCTGTATGAAGGACAAAGTTAATAGTCCTTCCCTATCGAAGTAAGGGTGAGCCAAAGCTGCTTTTGCACTGATTCTTTGTCTTGCTTTGTAGCGAACCATTGATGTCAGAAGTTCCCATCCTATCCCATTATCTAAATCCAGCAGCTCAAAGCCCTTCCGGAGATCAGGGCTAGCACGAGGCTCTACAGTTTTCCTCCATGCAACCAAATCATAATCACACCTCTTTAGCTGACGATTGAATTGAATCAAGGCACTGTCCGTCCTAAATGATGGAAATGCCTGTTTCAAGAAAATTGTTAAAACTTATGAGTTTAATACAGCTAGTTTTTCAACTCTAGCATTTTGATTGCAACCAGGGTATTGCCAAAAACAGCATAAAATACTATTTAAAGGCTAAACCAAATGTGTTATAAAGCTTAGCTATAGACATTGGAAGCTATAGATTGTTGATGATGCTTAACTACTTTCCATAAATGATTTTTTTTTCTTGAGCAAGTCCAACTTTTGAGGATACCATCTTGAAAATTCCCACATCTTCTCTAAGTGATTTTTCATGCAC